GGATTTTGCATCTAGAACTTAGTTACCATCATCTGAAGCTACCATTTGAATCTATCACTCAAAATGAGGGAAAAACAAATTTTTGAATATTTAAACACTGAAAATTATCTATACACCATCAATTCTTAGGGGAAAATTTTTTTTAATTCCAGAAGAATAACTCAGGAAAAATGATTTGTACAAATAGACAATTAGTTGAGCCTAAATACACAGTTAATGTTGCAGTTAAAAGTTGGCCACTACATTGAGAAAGATTCCTAAAATATAAGAAGCATATTGTTTCCAAAATGAAAAACATGTAATATTCTGGATCTAAAATTCCAGGTGATTTCAATTCTCGAGGAGAGGAAATGGGAGAAGAGAGAAAAAAAAGCATACCAAAGATTCTGTCTTATTAAAATAGAAGACTTTAGAGACTAACTATAGAGGTTGAAAAGATAATACACAGTTAAAGTATTTTAAGAACTTGAGGGTTAACAGCAGTAGATCAAAAATAGGATATTGAATTTTCAAACCATAAGAGGAAAAGGTTTGGTGAAGTTAAGAAAACAAAACAAATATAATAAACAAAATATAAAATAGGATGTCAGGAAAAGGTCCAAAAATGATCAGTGGTCATAATAAATAGGAATAAATTAAATATCCTCATTAAAAGACAAATAATAAGGAAATAACAAAAGACAAAGAAACAATTAAAGATAAAAACACAACAGCAGTAACAAAAGCCAGCTATATGGTATTTGTAAAAAAAAATCTACCTAAAACTAAATGATGGAGAAGAATTTAAAATAAAGAGAGGGCCAAGGTATAAACAATAACAAAAATAATACATAAAGCAATATTAACAACAAAAATTCATTGTTAAAGCACCCTGAGAATATATACAGAAGACCTATCACAACATGGTTTGGTACCCAGAGAATCAGTGGGCAGCAGCTAGTCCAACTTCATAATTAAGAACAAAACCAGGAACAAGACTAAGGTCCCCTAATTCTTACTGTTATCTTAGCTTTGGTTAATAAAATAAACAAGTTACCATGAATCCTAAAGCTAAAATATCTCAGAATTATGTGGGTGTTTAGCAGTCTGCCTTACTCACTCTCTGCTCCCTCTTCACAAAACACAACAGATGCTAAGAGGCCTGGCTGGCTGTCCTCTGCATCGGCAGGGAACCTCCCTGGCCAATCTCACCAGCCCAGACAGCAACACTTTTGTCCATTCCTAGATACAGGCCCTACTGGGTCACCACCAGCTCAGAAAAGATTATTTGGCAATTGTAGTCTGTAATGTTCTGTAGATTTATTTTGGGTTTGGGGTGAGGGAGGAGGGTAGAGATTTTGTTTGCCCACATCTTTTAATGAATGAGTTGTCAACATTTAAAAAGAGGAATGTTTCACCCAATACCGTGGACATTCCAGATGACTTTCATCCCCACTTTCCATGTTATTGCACATCTTCAGCACTGGCAGAGTATTTCCAGAGGTGGAACAGCCTTCCCCTGGTTACTGACCCTCTTTAAATATTCGAAACCAGTGTCACCCTCATTACAGAGTATGCCTGATGAGCATGCTCAGCCCTTGGGAAGGTTAGTTACCCCCGTTGTCTTAGCACCCTGTGTACATTTTCAATAAAGCCCTTGCACAGTCCAATAATTAATTAATTAATTAATTAAAATAAAATAGGAATGTTTCTTATTTTAAAAATCTGAATTTCAAGCTTCTCTTAACAATTTTGAGGATCCAGGCAGCCCTGGGCTGGGGTTTCCAAGCAGAAGCAGCAGCCATGGACAGGCACGCTTTCCTCGACTGGCCACAGGTATTTCTGCATGTGCACTGCTTCTGTTCCCAGAGCAAAAACTACCCTCTGAACCTACATGTCCTAGGCTGGGTTCCCTAGACCCGTGACCTGGGACAGAGATAGTTGTTTAGGTGACTTAATAGGGGAGTCCTTTCAGGGTTAGAGGGTGAGGGAAGCAGGCCAGGACAAGGGAACAAAGCCAGGCGAGGATGTGGTCTCAGTGGAAGATCTGCTAACCCCTGGGGAAGCTCTGGAGGACAAACTGCACCACACAGCTAATCCCATCTTGAGGTCAGGGAGCAGGGGTGGGGAGGGGCTGCTGTCCTGGGCTGGTCAGCTCCCATTCAGCCCAGGGCAATTCTCCAGGGAAGGAGGAGCTGTGTACCCTTGGCATAGGGCATGGGGGTGGACGCACAGACAAGCCAGGTAAAAGGGATCTGGGCAGGGGGCCGACTGCATTCACCACAGCATCTCTATTAAACATAGGAGAATGAAAACTAGATGACAGGGCTGAGGGCTTCAAGGAACATAGGAAAATGCATTCCTTTGTGGAAAGACTTCAGGAAACTGGATGCTCAAGGTTATCTGGGCAGGAGCAGGATGGTGTTCTTCAGGATTACTGAAGACTACACTGAAATTTCATGGAGCCAGTTTAGGGATAATAAGAAATGTTCAAAATAAAAGGATACAGAGAAACATATTTCTATGTCATCAATAACTGAGCCCATCACAACACAGGCAGAAGTTATTGTTGAGAAGTGTAGCACTCACTGACTATCAGAGTCTACTTACCTCAGAACTGGACAGCCCCGAATCTCTATCATCCAAATCCTTCAAAAGTTCAACCAGCCTTTTCTTCTCTCTGTCAGTCATAACCACTGGTTTTCCTGAATTCTTGGCCAACTATAGAATGTATTAATGGAAAATATTAAATACTCAAAGCACTTCATAGTTCAGGAAAATAAAAATGGAACCTGAGACTTCTACAGTTCAGATACACCAAGGTAAAATTTGTGAGATTAGGCATTTTCACTTGCTAAGAAATTCTACTTCATGCCTAATTTTTGGTTGAGGTCCATTCTTCAAGCATAGATATCCAATTATATCAACAAACATTTTATTTAGAAATAAAATAAAACAATAAAACATGGGCAGTTTGCAAACCTCTCTTTAAATAATATATATCAATGCAAAAACATGTTTATTAAAACATTTGGAAGGAATCTTACCACGTTCTATGTAGCCTATATCCACTAAATGATACTGTTTTTAAATTTCAAGAATATCTTGTCAAGAGTTTAAATAAAGATTCAGTTACTACTGTTAAAAGGAAAAGGGAATTCTATGAGGGCGCTGCTGTCTGTGTCAGCAAAAACTTAGATACAAGAAAGCACTACTGTTCTTAGAAAATTAAATCCTGAATCAACATCCAATGAGCCAATGCAAAGAGACAGATCAAGTTGGAGAAGCTTTCCTTCAGATCATACAAACATGGAGTACAGATAAAATCAAGAGTCCCAGAGGCCAGTCCCAGCAGCAGCAGGCGGACCCATGAATCCAGTCTGCCTGGAAATGACGTGCTAATTGTGGAAAAACAGGCTTGAACTACGAAGAATTACTTAATTCTCTCCCCTTGCTAACACTTGACACTCACCAACACGGTTTTCTAGTGACAATTGCTGGAGCAATTTTTCATGAGCCCTCAGTCCACAACCCTTACATTTCTTGCTATAAATTAATTAGCATTCTGATCTAATACAGGATCGCCTTGTGCCTTGTGCCTAGTTTGAGCCTGCCTTAAGGACAAACTAAATCAGGCTGCAGGGCCCGTAAGGACCAAGGTGGAGCCCCTAAACCAGGGCTAATCAAAGGAAGAGACAAGTGACAGCCTGCCAGGAAGCTCAGCTGGAGTTGGGGCCCTGGGGAGCAGGCAGACAACCAGTTGGCCTCTTCATTTCCACTCAAATTTCTAAATGCTCCAGCTATAAAATCAGTCTCATCACTTTACAAAGCCAATTTTACTAATATGCAATTTAAAATCTGGGAAACGTTGTCCAAAACTATTATCTAAATAAATGTTTTTCAAACTGCAGAAACTAGATTCATTTCTGGGTAATGAAATAAACATATTAAGTTGCAGCTAGATTTTTTAAAGGGGTGGGATGAGGCAGAATAACATAGGATGGAATAGAAAATAGTGAAGTTAAGTACTGGTTTATAAAATTTTTATTTCAGTTAAATACACTGTTTCAACTTACATGTGACATGGTCAAAAAAATACTTAAAGACAATGAACACAACTATTTCCATTTTTGCAACTCATTTAGTCCCACATTCTGGCTTCTAAATTTCTAAGTACATACCTCAATGTTTCGCTTAATAAAATCCTGGCTGTTTTTACCCCTGAGCTCAGTCTTTTCTGTGTTTGAGACAGGTTTCTTCTCTGCTTTGATCAATGACTCATTTCTTTCCACATCATAGGTAAAATCTAATGTTAAAAAAGGTCAAAATTTTTCATAATTATACTTGCCCCTTAAGCTAAAAATTTATCTTAAGCATATATTAAAATATATAAGAAATAAAATATGCATAGAAAAACTTCTAAATCCCAGATTCAGAAGCTTAATACAAAGATTTATTCCCAAAAAGATAAATGTGTATATAATTTGCAATGAAGTTCTCATAAAACTCCTTTCCTTATTCACACTCACGTATCACACTTCTTCCTGTTGATTCCTTTGGAATCATGGGAAATATGAAAAGAACTTCAAGTGATACAAGTGAAGGAGAAATCTCTGATATTATGAGAATTTTAAAGTATATTTTATTTTAGTCATCATATGAAATAAAACTTTCCCTAAGGACTAGAGTCATTTCCTGCTATTCTATTAATTTGCTATCACCTTCTTGGAACAATAAATTTTTTGTTCAAACCTGTCTTTTAAGCAAGGTCTGGGCATAAGTGTCCTGAATGTTCCACATCCTATCTGCCTAACTCCTAAATCTCAGCTTGTCAGTTTTTCTCAGCCTTTGAAGAGGTTTACGTCAACCTCTGAGCTGTTCAGACCCTGAGCACACAAGACAAGAGTAAGAAAAATATTTAGGGGATGGGGAGGGTATATAGTTCAGTGGTAGAGTACATGTCTAGTATGCACGAGGTCCTGGGTTCAATCCCCAATACCTCCATTTATAAATAAATAAATAAATCTTCTCCCCAAAACAAAACAAAAAAATATTTGCAGACTCTTTATTTCCTTTATTAAATGTCTTGTTTTCACTGTAGTCACATTTAAAGCATTTTTTTAAAAAAGATCATATGAATCCTTCATTAAAGCTCTAAAAATATGCATAAAGAAGAGTCTTCTTAAACAACAAATGGAGTCTACCTTACAAAACAGGATAAACTGCCATATTAAAGTCCAAAGGAAAAAACACTAGCCAGTTGCTCAATCCAGACAAGGCTTACTTAAAAGTTATCTCTGTTTTATAAGAGAAGTTATTTCAATAAAAAGGATTAAGTCAATTGGTGCATTTATAGCTAACTATCAAGGATTTCATACAAATTTAATAATTCAAGAATAAATTTTGACAACACTAGCAGGAAAGAACAAGGAAAAGGGTGAGATCTCTGGATTTAAATTCTTTTCAGACAAAAATTAATGAGTAAAAAAGGTTTTACTCAAATTTAAGTTATACATTTCAAGGCAAATAAATCTGTGCTTTGTAATTGGGGTTCTATTTTTTAATCAGTAACATAATTTTTTAAAATCAACTACCAACAGTTAAAGTATGAGCTACTTTTTTGGTGAGCAGCCTCCTTAGGTATAAAATTTGTAACTTTTTCCCATAATCCAAGTTGCATATAGTCTTTTAAGCTGAAATATGAAGTTTATTCATTCAGCTGAAGTTTCATAGTCTTTTAATCCACACAACATTAAAATAACTCAAATTAAATGCATACTTGTCTACATTTATAATAGTTACTTTGAAATATATTTTTAATACATTATAGGAGAAAGTATTAGATTGTCTGGTCAGAATTCTCTCACTAGAAATGTCTTCTTCTCTCCTTCCTGGCACT